GGGGTGCGGGGGGGGGGGCAGGCAAGAGTGGTGAAGACTACAACTCCCAGCATGCGTCTCGCTCGGTGCACGGCCGTGGCGCACAGCGTTGCATGCCGGGAGTTGTAGTCCGCGCCTCGCACACTGAGGTACGTTGCAAATGCTGTCCCACCCGAGTCGCGTCCGGACGCTGTCGCGACACGGCGACATGGCGAGCCGTCGTGCTTGCCCATTGAGGTGTGCCCTGAGAAGCAGACCACGGCCCCCGTATTTTGGTAGTTATTGGAGGCGGGGGGAGAGGCAGGACTTATTTACCCGGTGTCGGTCGCGACTGTCGCCTGACGAGCCGTGACAGTGGCCTCTGCGTGCGGGAAGAAGTGGCCTGAGGGGATGAGAAAAACTGAGCACGTCTGAGTCGTTGTGCTTAGAAAAGAGAAGGCTAGTGGGGTGTAACGATTACTGTCGTCTGCGTGACCTTCTTTTTCCTCCATCTCTATAGTGAGTAAGAAAAGAAACTTTTAAAGGTGTAAACTGCAGCAAGGAACACTGTGGTTCGGTGCTGGGGTAGAAGGTTCTGGTAATGGGATGCCTGCACTGAACTGCATTAAAAAGATAAAGAATTACTATTGTTGGAGGCCTTTAAGAAGACATTTAGACTATTCTCAGTGCGGTTACCGTTGAATTGCCATTGCTGCTCTCTGGCGTACAGACGTGCTGGCTTTCCATTTAGAAAGAGATGTGGAACACGGAAAGACTTGTCTAAAAGGCAAATGGGGATGCTTTTTTTGTGATCCTGCACTTAGATAAATATCTTAGGCTTTGGGCTAGCAAATATGCAGGCATTTGGGTCATTTAGCACGGGGTATTTCCATCGTTTTGCTTGTTAATGTGTGGTTTGTACTGTATGGATTATAATCGCTGGATTTTAATTTTGGTTTTGTTTCCTCCTGTTCCATTTGGTTTACAGATCATGAAACGCCGCCACGCATCTTCCAGTAAAATGGGGGAGACCACTGGCGGGGGATCTGCAAAAAAAAAGTTTAAATCACAAAATCGACAAGGGCCTTCCAGCAAAAAAAAGGGAACAGATGGAGAAGGAAGAAAACAAGGTCAAAAAAGAAAGGTAATAACTATTTTGGATTAAAGAAATTAGAAAAGTAATCAAAGAGAGAGAAGAAGAAAAAAAAAAGGTATTTTTGTCCAGTTTTTTACTGGAATTTATAGAGAATATTTCATTAACTAAAAGTAGTCCTCTTGAGGAAATGTCCAGTGTGAACAGCTCTTTTGAGACCCACTGCCTTAGCTGCTCCCTGGTTTCCAGAATTTCTAGTTGTGTGCTAGTGTGCCTGTGACAAGTAGAGGGAAGCATTGCCTGATGATTAATAAAAAGGCAAGCTGGCTGTGGAGTTCTGAAGAGCTGCATAGCATCTGTTTGAACAGAGTGATAAAGTCAGGGTTCGTTCAGCTCAGGTGACGTTTACTCAGTTCTGGAAAATATTCTCTGCATGTCTCGGGACTGGCCTAGGCAGCTTTCTGTTGGAGAGAGCTTGCTTAACCACTGAACTTGTGAACGGCGTGATCTCCAGATGTGGCTGGATATCCAAACGTCTCGTGCATTTCTTATTTCATTACCTCATTCTTGGAATGGGAGGAATCAAGAGTGAATTGCTTTCTTTAACCTTGAGATGAATTCCTGTTTCACAGTTCAAAAAGCCTTTTTTCTGGTCAGCGTCAGTAGACCTCTGTCAGTGCTTTCACGGCCTTTTTATAGTGGGTTGCTAGTAGTAGATGAATGGTTGCACAGCAGTTTCAAAATTACCACATTTGCTGTAATTTTTTCTCTTCAGCAGGTCACTCAGACAGTCAAAAGGAAAGCTAAGGAACATGGGGACTATTCCCCTGCAGGTAGGATTGTATTCTTTCCTTATGTCTTGTCTTGTCCTGTGTGTCTTGTTTTTCCAAAACACTGACAGTAAAAGTAGTAACTGCTGTGTTGAAATCATAGATGTGTGAGATGTCACTGAAATAAGTTTCAAAGTTTTCTTTCTGAACAGTAACAGCGCGTATTCGCAGTACAGTCGTTAGCCAGTGGGCGTTCGTATCGTGTTGTATATGCACACATTTTGTTTGCAAGAAGTGTTCTTCTCTTGTAAAATTCAACCACAAGCACCCACAACATTTTAACTTTCTTTTCAGAGGTCATTGTCTTCTCTGTTAACCTTCTCTCTTAAGACTGGCATGTGTCGTATTGAACATAAAAACGAGATGAGGCCCCTGCTGCATTGAGTTTCTCGCTTATGTATATTCCCACTCTTTGTTTTATTTCATTCTGGGTTTTCTCACTTGTATTGCCAATGATTTTGGGAAAGTTTCTTGCAGCAGTTTCATTCTAAACAGATAGAACCTTTTCTATTTTGTGCTTTTTAGACGACTTGTGACTTGCAAATAGTAAGTACCACCTAATGTGGATAGATTTGACCTGATAGTTTTCTGACACAGAAAAATCTTAACCGTTTTGACTACGATCTGACTGAAGTGAGTCGCAAATCTGTCTATCCAGGTTTGACAAATCGTATCTTTTCCTTTTTTCCTTTGTGTTAACAGGAGAAAAAGGTTCTTCAGAAAAGGTGAAGCTAACCAGTGCTAAAATAGGATCTTGGCAGACTCTCTCAGAGAGTAGTAGGCAGTTTCTGGAAACTGTAATGGATTCAGTAATACTGTAAGTGCCAAATATCCTGGTGGTTCTTCTTTGTTTCCACAAGGAATAAAGTAAAAATCATAACATTGCTTGAACTGGAAAAGCTTTGGAGCTTTTTTGGGCAATATGGCTGGCTGTGTATATTTTGTCTGGTATAATATAACACTTTCTATCTGAAGTTGGAAATTTTTATCTAGAGAAGTTCTGACTGTGTTCACTTCACTTGATGTGTTCTCTGTGCTTGCAGGCTTTGCGATAAAAATTCTGCCTTTATTTTCTTTCCAGATCTGTTTTGTGCCAACAAAGTGAGAGGAAAGATGATGTTCAGAAGCACCTCAATTTACTGAAAGACAGGTAAGAAATTATAATTTAAAAAAAAAAAAAAAGAGGGAGAGAAAGGATGTTGTTTTGTACCATGCTTACAGAATTGCTTCTGGGAGCAATCACATTTAGGAAATCTTGGAAGGGAGAGTTGATAAAAAATAAAGGAGGGAAATATCTTGACGGTACCTTGATTGAAGCGGACAAGCAAGAGTTGTTGAAAGACCCACTTTAACTACTTCTATATGCATAACAGAACCTAGGAGGTATTCTTAAGAGCTCCTTAAATCAGCTTTGTACTCTTTATACAGGGTTTAAATTTGTGGGCAGCTATTTATTTTGTTATCATTTTATGATAGTGGTGGGGGAAGTTACAGCTACATTTTCTTAAAAGCTAATTCATTTTCTGACTGTTGAAGTTTCTTCAAGGAGAATTGAAATTTTCTGTTGGGGCGTAACTTGTAGCTTTTTTTTATGTCATTGCGGGAGTAATTACATATGCTTGAGTGTCTGAGAATTTTTGTGTGCATGTGTGTCGGTATTCCAGGCTCTTATAGGCTCAGGCTCTATGTTGATATGTTGCTTTCTTTGTTCTTACAGTGCCTCAAGGCTCAAACGTGAGGAGCTAGTTTTTCGTAAATGTTTTGTTTTGGTTTTTTTAATAATGTTTAATTTGTGACATGTTTAATTTCTGAAGTTGCCAGACTCCTGCAATCTCATCTGAGATGCATGGAAATTGTGGCAGTTTGGTGTATGTAACAGACAGATCCAACTTGGAAGAATTCAAGCCTTCCTCAGAATCAGGACCTTTGAGAGCAAGCTAAAACTATTCCTCTGGCATATCATGTTTCACAAAAGCATTTACAGATTTTACTGAAATGATCTTTGTTTGGAAGCGGTTAAAAATGCTGCTTTTAGAACTTAGTTTTACTTTGAAAAGCAGAAAGGTCAGAACTGGGAAAATACTAGTTAATGTCAATTTATAGTCAGGGGGTGTACAGGTCAATGGGATAGAAACCACACAACGTCAGTGTAATAGCAAAGGTTAGAACGGTGGGATTTCTTGTTCCTGGTTCCTTCCTTAGACATCTATTCCACGTGATTTTGGAAAACAATTCAAGACAGCTTTTCTTCCTGTCTGGATCCTTTTACTTCGCTGGCAGCAATTGGACTAAACTGAGTTTAGTTTTTCCCCAGTGAAGTCATTAATCAGTTTTCTTTTTGTTTTGCGAAGAACTCCGAACAACTCATGCTTTCCTTTTTCTATAATAAAGGGTGCTGAGAGTTTTCAAGACTTTAAAGGTACCTCCAGGGAAGCTGAGCAACCTGAAGAATGTCCCGAGCCTTCAAATGGCAGAGAAACAAATGCTTGAGACAAATGAAGAGTCTTTGGTACAATTGCAGGTATGAAAGGCAAGGAAGGGAGGAAAATGTCTTGCCCGTCTGCTGCTGCTCGGTGTGTTGTAACTGTTTAGCAGACGGTCTGGTGGCTATACCTTCGCTGTTGCGGAGGAGTTGTCCACTGTTTATCATTGTCACCCACCTTTGCCACAAAGCAGTGTATCTTTTTGGATGGTTTTTCAGTGACTGATCTGATGCTGATTATCAGTATCTTATATGCAAAAGGCTCACCATCTCTAAGGCAAATTTTGTTCTGTTTTTGTGTCTGTTTTGTCTTAGGAAGAAATAAATGAAGCTGAGCGATCAGCAGAACGCATTGAAGAAACTATACAGCAACTGCAGTACAAAATCCAGGTGCTCAAGAACCAGTTAGAGGAAGATGAAAAAAAGGCCAGGAAGGTATTTCCAATGGCTGTTGCTGCATTCCTCTAAGGAGAATATGCTTCCAGAGCTATCGCACCCAAGCTGTTTCTGCGTCGTATAAGGAAGGCCTTATTTGCCTTTGGGAGTGTATCTTTTCAATCTTTCCAACTTCAGTTGCAAAATTAAGCAGTTTAGTTTTCAGAAGTTGGATCATGATAGCCAGTTTATTTTCCTACTTGTGTGCCTGATGTTTGGGTTTGGGGTTTGTTTTTTCCCCGCCCCCCCCTTCCCCTCCCTCTTTTTCCCCTTCTAGGTATTCCAGGAAAACGGCAGTGGAGCACTCCACCTTCCAGAACTCCCCAGGCGCAGCTTCCAGGCACCCACTTTGCAGGTGAGCATGGAATATATTTTCAGAGACACCTTGGCTATGAGAAGAAAGGCAACAGAATCTGCTTTTATCACTTAACCGCTGCCAGAGGGAGCAATTCTGAAGGCAACAGAATCTGCTTTTATCACTTAACCTCTGCCAGAAGGAGCAATTCTGAAATATCTGATGTTTTCTCTTTTTTCTTCTTTTTTTCCTTTTCATTGAGAACTATATGCTTATGTTTTAAAAACAGAACAAAACCCAAGAAAACCTGTAATTTAAAGGATGACATGTAATTTCCCTAGGAACCTGTGGTCCTAGGGAACCTGTAATCAGTTCTGAAATACATCTCTCTGTAACTGGTGGAAGGAATACTGTCTCGTTCTGTGTCTTCAAATCCTTTTTATTTTAGCTTTATTCAGGTACAGCTAGGCTGCATGAAAATGAAATTTCTGTTGGACTCGGGGAAAGCTGTTTTTTATTTGTTGTCTATTATTCTTTCCTTCTTTAGGAAGAAATTTTGAAGATAAAAAATCAGAAGGGTCTTTTAAAGGATATGAACACTATTCAGCAGTCAGCTGACTTGAAGAACATGTTAACCCTCATTGAAAAGACCTATGCAAAGGTGGACTTCCTTTGAGAAACCGAAATATCTTCTTCAAAGGAGACTCCGTATGACCTAAGCCAGCACTCTGTGTTAATGTAGAGCAGCAGGGTGCTGATCATGGAAACAGCGTTTTCTTCCTAATGGCTTTACTGTTGTGACTGCTGAATTTCTGTTAAAACATTTTCTATGAATATTGGTATATAAATCTGTAGATGTATTCTGGGACTCTGGTGATTTAAGTGAGTGATCAAGGTTTTTTGCGGGCAGTTTTTTGGAGCTGTGGTGACTTCTAATAGTGATATATACTGTCTTAGGAGTAAGGGAGGGAAATGGATCCTGGGCTTATTTGGGCATTTTTATAGAATAAGGCAATCTGTTCCATTGTATTTGGAGTTTTATATCACGTCTCTAACGGTGAAGGCAGTATCTCTTACCAAACTAACTTCTCTTTTGGAGTTAAATTCTCTTTAAACTGGAAACACGTAGTAAAAATATGCTTACCTAATGCTTAGTTGCAAATCCCCTCTTCAACTTTCTTACCATTTTTTAATAAAAAACCTCCATGGCAGGAAATTCAATAATTTTTATCAAATTTTTTTTACATTTTCATATTCACTGCTTAAAAAAAAAAAAAGACATTTACACCTGGTTTATCCAGATGGTTGAGGAAAGCTAGTGAAAACATTATAGAGCAAAGCTCTAATCTCAGAGTTGTGTACTCACCTTATATTTCGTTAGCTGCCAGATATTCTTCAGCTTTAGAGAAAGGAAAATAGACTTTTGACTTAATTTCCTATGTACTTTAATCTCCCCTCTATTTTTTCCATGATAGAGCCTTCTCCCTTAAAAGATTCAGGTATTATAAAGTGCTTTCTACAGTCAAATTATAGGCTAGAAGACAGCAGCGCTCTTTACATTGACTTACCACACAAACAGTTGTTCTTTTGTTTACAAGCTGCTGGTACTCTTAATGAGACATGAGCTAATTATTCTCCTATGAGAGGTTAAAAGCCTCTCTGTAGTTGCTACACGTAGGATCAGGAAAACTAGACTAAGTACTTGCTTGCTTTGTACTGAATCACATGAAAAAGTGTTAAAATATGTAGAAATATTTCTCAAATTTTTGGTCACTCGACGAGGGGAGTGGTCACTTACTGACATAACCACTACCCCAAAGTAATTTAATCCAGCTTATGGGTTAATGATTTTCCTGCATGCCAGCTAGCTTAATTTTTGTTAAGTTAGGATACGCTCCTTTGCTTTCATTAAGGGTGACTTACTTGCCAGCAATTTACTATGTGGGTTTTGAACTTCGTCAACCACATAGATACCTGAAGAAGGAAATAATAAAGATGTAAGGTGTTTCATGAAAGCATTGAGTAGGGATTGGTTACTCGCTGCTTTTTTACAACGTAGGAATGAGGGAATAGCCAGTTTGGTGGCTAGACAGCAAGTTCTTTAAGTAAGGTACTCTGTGTAACAGTGCTGGAAGATTCTGTGCAAGCACAAGTGTACAAATAGATGTGAAAAAGGAGTAAACAAATCTCTGAAGTGTGTGTCCATCAGAGGCAATTAAATGGCTTGGACAAAGTTGAACATCATTGATGTACTTTTAATCATAGATGCTGGCACTGAAAGACAGGGTACTGAAGTAGGATGAATTTTTTCTTAGCTATTATTTGCAGCATTTTCTGTGTTTCCCCAGGAAAGGCTGTAATTACAAGACCTTTTGCAATTATTCCGATGTGGTCAGCTCCTGGAATTGAGATCTGTGGTCTCTTCCCTTCCTTCCAAATCTAGTTGTTTAGATTGCAATGTGTTACGCTCAAAATACTGTTTAAATGCAAAGAGGAAGCACTCCCCGGGGGGGAGCGCATAATACCTTTTATGTATATTAGGTGCTATTTCTTTCTTACTCCTAAAACCAGTTTTGTCCAGCTACGGGTCAGTATTTCCTGAGCTGATTGTTGGTGAGTTCTTTGTAGCGGAGGGGTCTCCCATGCCAAGCCTCATCTCTTATCATCCTCACCGCTCTCCCGTGCCCCATCGCTTATCACCCCATACCTGTACTTCTCTGCACCGCATCCCGTATCTCCATTTCTCAAGGCCTCTGCTGTCATACTCTGCCTGTATTTCTCTATACTACATCATTAGGTTGGTCATAAATACCTCATTGGACATACTGCTTGTTACTGCTGTCTGTATAAAACTCTGGTTGTACCATACAAAGATAACAAAAATAAAGTAATTATTCATAGACACCCGGTCAATTAGAGGAAATGCTAAATTACACAGCTAGGTAAAAAAAAAACATTCAAGGAGCACCTGATGAGCCTCAATCCTGAGGCCTTGTAAACACAGTGCAAAGGTGTCACTAGCAACGGAGGTACTGCCTTACAGGGCTAGATAGTTACAGACGCAAGCCATAATTATTTTCATTTTATTTTTTTCCCTGACATTGGGTGATTTATGATAGCCTGGCTGGCTGTGGATGTTGTTACTTTGGGGTTGTCATGCCCACATAAACAGGACAACATAAAACAGGAACATAAACCCAGACTTTTAGGAGGTGGTCTTAGCTCAACTTATTTGATGGTGGATACCCTTGGGCAGAGCTGCAGAATGATCAGATTTTGGTTTCTGGTGAGGTTAGACGACTCTCCTAGGAGAAGGTTCACTGTTGATCTGAGCGCGTGGAGCTGTGAACTTGTGTGATTTGACTTGGGAGCATCTGAAACTCTTCAGTTTCACAAACCTTGGTTTCAAGTAGGTAAGTTACAAGCTACAGATTTCTTACGATACAGCAGGAATATCAATCCATATCCCATATCAACTGCCTCGTGCTCAAAGCATCTTTCTCTATGTGCTCTCCCATAACACTTCAATGTTCCTTCTCTATTGACTCTTCTGCCTCGTGCTGTACGTTACCAAGTCCAAATCAAAAGGGCAATATGGCTTAGCATTGTCAAACTGGACTGTCTAGGACAAATGAAAAACCGGGCGAAGGGTGAACAGGGCTGCCACCTCAAAATGATGCTTGGGGCTGCTTAGCTTTTCTTAGCTTCTCTCTTGGGCAGAACGTGTCTCGGTTTATCTCAGGCTCTTAATTCCCCCATGGTATGAAGCTTGGCACTGCGAATGAGAATTGACCACTTTAATTTCACTACCACTGAGAAGAAGAAGGGTGATTATGTGCAAAGCAGATCATTCACTGGTATGAATGCAAAGAGATTAAATGTCTTACTGAAAAAATTAAAGGTTCTTGTTAGAGCCTATTCTCTTGAACAAGCCTTTTGACGCTTCATTAACTCTGCTTAGAGAGTCCCTCCTACTCCAAAGGTGCGGCTGGCTCTGGCTTTTATTTCCATGCTCCCCAAAGGAAAGAAAGAATAAAGCTTTTAGGAACAACATACCAGTTTAGAACAATTTTGATCAATCAAATTATATTTTACAGTTTTAAGATTCTGGACAAGGACTCGTCATTCCTCACGCAGAAGCAGCCACAAAGTGGATGCATTTTATTGTCTCCTATCTTCAAGCTTACTGCAATTTGGAAGGACGAGCGACAAGACTGAGAGCAGGTAAGCAATCAGGTCATCTATTGGTGCGATATTTGTTTTCAATCTGAAAGCACTTCATAGAGAGAAGATGTAAGAACTGTCCTTAAGTACAAGTAGCTGTGTATTCAAACGCGTATCAACGCTGCCTTTAGATATAGTTACATGCATACTGATGCGCTGTGACGCAGAGGCAATTTTCCCTGTGAATGTGGTGAGAAAATGGAGTTTAAGCTTCAATAAAGGTAAATACGCACATGTGATCATAGAAAGGGCTATTTTTTTTTTTTTTTTTAAATTTTTATGTTTGGTGAAGCAAGACAAGGAACAAGGGAAGGGTTTGAGGCTGATGGTGGATCACATAGATTCTGGAAGATATTTTCCTGATGCACAGGTGTCTTAGTGGGGCAGCCTGAGCTTCACTATATTGCTCTGTTCGTGTACCTCTACCATGACCTGGGGAGCAGATTGCCTGCGTACGTGTATTGCTTAATGCTGTGGTTTATTCAACCCTAAATCTGTCTGCTGAGGACAACGACAGGAGGCAATTAGTGCTGACTGTTGAGTTGTTTCTCTGTTAAACAAAGCCTTGTCACTTGGAAACTGGACTAAATGTTTGAAACCTAAACATAGCCTGGAAGGAAGATTCAAGTTACGAGATGCAAAAGCCTTTAGGAAAAAATACATGCTGTGCAACCTGTAGAATGAAAAAAAGTAAGAAAATGGCCATATTGGCCCATTGTATTAAGTGAATAGAAGCCTTTTTCTTTCCAAGCAGTGATCTTGGAAAGACTCCTTGACGAACTTGCAGTAGAAGATCAACTATAAGGTTAATATATAGTGCTGACAAGATAAGTCATCAATGCTAAGACCCTTCAACATTTATAGTATGCGGGTGCTTTTTATTTCCTTTAAAAACATAGGAAAATCAGATTGAGCAACACCTGATTGTTGTCTTACTTGTGATCTGTCTGTTGGATCAGTACCTTTGTAGTAGCCATACAGGGTCTAATAAGCAAACATGGGAGCTGAGGATGGCTGACCACCTAGCCCCCCGCTACAGGATTTATTCTCCATCTGTGATCCTGAGAGGTGGCTGCTTGTAAGATGTTCGTTAGTAGTAAGGTGGATACTTGACGGCTGCAATAATTTGTAAGGCATGTTAAGATTTATAATGAACTGCAGCAAAGGGAAATGCTTTTAAGATTAACTGGTGCACATTTAAGAGGTAAAAGAGAGGATGAAGGATGTGGTACTTCTGAGAAACCTTAGGATTTTAATTCTTTCCTTGGACTTTTTGAGTGAAGATACAGTTTTATTGCTTCTTGGGTTTTTTGTTTGTTTGTTTTTTGGTTTTTGGGGGGGTTTTTTTGTTGTGGTTTTTTTTTTTTTTGACAGACCGTAACTATGTTGTTTTGGATGGGCTAGTTTGGATTTACAGCAAAGGTGGAAAGAAAAAAAAATTACCAAGGCAAGGCAGGTGTTTCACAAATAAGATTTGTGGCTGTCATTCTGGCAGTAACTCCTCTGCTGAAGAAGTTACCCTGGGGGATGAACTGTCCCAAATCATAGCCTAAAAAGTTAAAGGCTGAATTAACATAGTACAAATTACTTGTCAGTAGCCAGTAAGAGAGGTCAGTCGTATCTAGGCTTAAAGAATTTGGTGGTAAGAATTTATTTTTACGGTTTTTAGCAGCAAAAACTAACATGATTTTTTGGGGCAGACATGAGAAAGCCCTCTTTTTTAACCTATCTGTAAGTGACCTGCCTGATGTTACACAAGAAACGTGGTATAGAATAGCAAATTAAGCCCACGATTTTCTGACTCCAGTTTGATCTGCCAAACACCATCCCACCCTGCTGTTCTCTGCACATCCATCTACTGGGAAAAAAAAAATTATTCCCAAAACGCTTTCCAGAGGAAAATGCTGAAACAGGGCACTTGTGGGAGCTATCGTATTTTATGAAATTAGCAATTATGCCACTCAGTTCCTCCATATTATTGCTTTTCTGAGTTACTCTTTATACCTTGTGTGTGTTCCCAGCAAGGAAGATGCTGGTGCTCAACTGCTCCATGAAGCTGCAGATGCTGGAGAAAATGCCAAAGTGAAGTTTCCCCGAGTCCCTCAAGGTAACACAGCGCTGACCTGTCGTTTTCTGTGGTATTTCCATCACTGAATCAGGACGTTTGTCGGGGAATCAAAGTTGTGGGGAGAGGGTTGTGCTTCTTCTGGACTGACTGGTATTTGCTGTTTAGATGACTACATGTGAGGTGTCTTTTGGCCCTGCTTACTAACCCAAATCCACATACTTAAGAAAAGAAGCAAACCAGTCCACCTCCTCTCCAACGTAATTAGGGTTGGCATAATTAGACAATGGTTTATCTTCATGGTAATATGCCTCACTGATGAGTGTGTAGGTATCAACCTGTGTGATTTTGTGTGTATGAAAATCTAAACATGTGCTTTCAGCTCCGTGTCACTGGTTCAGTCTCTGGTTTATAACACAGGTGCCACGTTAGCATGTCTCAAACCATCTTTCTTCTCTTGGCTCTTCATCCTGCAGGTTTATGGAGCTGTGATGAATGTCAACCAAGGGAACCCCTTCAGGAAGGAAGTGGTGGTGATCTCATGGCCAGATTTCAAAGCTGTTATCACCTGGCCTCAGAGGGAGGTAGATGGATGTGTTTTTTATCTTTGTTTCTGACAGGGGGATCCAGCATGACTGGGGCCTTCCTCTCAGCTTTCTGAGAGCTTTGCGGATGGGGCTAGCTTTATCTGGGAAGTGTGTAACAGGGTGTAACAATTGTGAAGTGCAATAAGACATCCCAGTGGGTGCCACCACAAAGCCCACTGTATGGAGTGCTGCTCTTTCCTGAAACATTCTGCCTAGCGACTATAGCATAACCAAACTTATTTATGAAGTACACGCTCTAATTGATTGTAATTATCCTGATTGCACCAACGGAAGATTAACTTGCACAGCTTATGGAGAGAACATTTTACCTGCGCTCACGCCACTTGACCAAACTTTCCAAGGATTCGTTGGTCTTTCTAGCCTTTGTACAGACAGACAGAAAACAC